AGTCTGACCTGTAAAATAGCTCATAAGGAAACAAAAATAGAGAATTTTGATGGGGAGTCTTCTTTAATGGCATGTCCCAGGATGTGTCTGATCAGCTGTGTGCCCTTGGCACATCCTCACCAGTGCTCAAACAAGGAGGCGAGCAGGCTTCAGCATTCCTCAGGACTTTGATAACAAGATTTTAGTCAGAAAGTGGCTCATGTTTAATCGTAACTTCTGGACCCCATTTTCCTTGGGAGAAAAACAAACTAATCTCATGTATATATAAGGAATCATCTGGTTTTATTTAGCTGTTGGTCATATGATGAAAGGCATATATGGTACAAAATTACAGCAGTTTAGTTCATTATACAAATCAACATCTTTACATTGTATTACATAATCTTTGGATTTTTAAAAATTCCACTTAATGTATACCAAATCATCAACCCCAAATCTAAATCACTTCTTAAATATGTACCCATCATATTTACAAAAATCCACACATAGAAAGAGGTTACGAGACTCACACATGTCAGCAAAGTAGCAGAAAGGCCCCACAGACTTGTCTGAGAAAGATACTTGTGGGTACAACTGAATCTGTTTTCACTCAGACCCAGTCTGACAGGTAAGGCACGGCCACCTCTGGGACTGTAGCGCCAGGGTCAGGAAGCACAACAACCCAATCATCCTCAAACTAGTCTGTTTCACATACCGGGAACAGAAGGCGAAAATAAGGAAGTACAACCACCTATACCTTTCTAACTCCTCCATGGTCACCGGCACTCACTCCCTGACAATACAAGGTCATTCTCAATCCCTCCGGAAACCTCTCTCACCAAATGCCCTTGCCACTTGCAACTCCCAGGGCCCATTCCTCAGGAAAGGTCAGGTCTGCAGGAGATGGGAGGTGAAGACCCGCATGCAGAGGGGCAGAGAGAAGTTTCCCTCACGTGCCCAATCACTCATGAGACCCCTCAGATGCAGCCCCTCACTGATGCCGATTCCTCTGCCCCCACCTGTTTGTAGAACCAGCTCCTCTGTCTGATCCCCGGCGTGGGTGGGGATACAAAGCCTGAAGAATCCATCCCACCCTGTCCTCAGCTGTGTCTTCTGCATGGCATTGTTTCCCTAGTCACAAGCTAACAGGACAAGACTAAACTGGCACAGGTGTGATTCCAGCACACCTAGCTCCTCACCTGTTAGGTCAGAGGGGCTCCACCTGAGCACCCTCACAGAAACTCGGCAGGATACCTGGGGATGTGCAAGTAGCACAAGAAGGAAGATCAAGACCAAAATACCACAACCCCCAGGGACGCCACCTTTTCAAGTCTCTGTCCAACCCCGGCCCACAGGAGATGCGGGAATCCCCATGGCCAGGTACCTGAGGCAGGTCTCAATGCTTAGTCCTGATGGAGGAGCTAAGGGGTGGGATGGGAGCCCAGGACGGAGGCGGGTACACAGGTCAAAGCCCCTTCGTTGCAGTAAGGGCCACGTCAAACATGAGAGTCCAGACACCTTCTCTCTCCAACAATCAGGACAAGAACCCAAAACACTTCCTTAGAAGAAAATCCTAGGCAAAGGTAAAAGCTAGGAAAACAGAAAGCAGCAACAGACCTTTTGTCCTGCCAGAAGCGCCTATTTTCCCCACTCCATGAGCATGGACATCTCGCCCCTGTAGGGAACAGCTGGAAGCTGTAAACAAATTTCCCGGCCTGGCCCACCCTGGGTGGCAAAGATTTTTAAGTTATTAAGTGCAAGGACAAGGGGAACAAGATCCCCCAGAAAATGAGGCTCCCCAATATAGTCCAGACAGCAGGGCGGAACTAGTGGAGAATTTTAAGGAAGGAAACTGGGAGTGTGAGTGAACAGTTGGGCAGGGGAAGGCAGAGCCTGGCTAGGCTGCCTGAGAGGTGGGGGAGGAAAGAGAGGGCAGGGGCCCCCAAAACAAAGGGCTGGCCTGGACAAAGTCAGCCAGGCCTTCCTCCCCATTGCTTCTAAGAGCTCTAGCTAACAAGATTCTGTTCCAGTCAATAATCCCATTCTAGTCCATTCCATTTTAATTAGACTGAATAATAAAAAAGCAAAGTAGAACACCCCTCGACCCTCAACTGACTTTTTCCCCAAGGCCTTTTCTATAGGGGAAGGGTTACACCATAGTCAGGACAGATGGGCTCCAATACTGAATTAATAGCAGCCGTAACTCTCAGAAGTACTTTCTCCTCAGAGAGCTTGGCATAAGCTTTCTGACCAGGGGCAGGTCACCAAGGGTCTGCACAGTAACTCAGGGATGGACAGGGATGATCCTGTTTCCATCAGCAAGACTGGTAGTGTAAATGTGAAGAGATCGCTAACCAAAAACAGATTTTTAAAAAGAAAAATTCTGTGGTGTTAGGAAGTATGAGGGGAAAAAAAAAAAAGTATGAGAAAAAAAAAATCACCTAATTCAGTGACACACATGTAGCAGGTATTCCAAAAATGCTAGGAAGACAGGAAGGAATGGCAATCCCTGCCTGAGGATGGGGGCTCCCCCCCGGCACCAAGTTGTGGTAATGTTGCGCCCTGACTTCTCTCTGCCGCAGGACCCGTCTGCTCTGCTTGGAGGAGAGGCTGAGGTCAGGCCAGGAAGCCCAGGGTTCTGAGGATGGTACCAGGGCTGCTGGCTTCAGTTTTGCCATTAACTATGTGTGTAAACCTGGAAAATCCACTTAAGGTTTTCCTTGGCTCTAGACTCTTCACTATGAGATGATCCTTCCTCTCTCAAACTGTGGGTGCAAAAATAAAGCTTCTGAGTGGAGAATGTTGTCGGCCTCTGTTCTTCCCTTCATTAAAATGCAAACACAATCTTAGGACGCCCCCAGATGCTGCACAGACCAGCAAGAGGGTTCAGATCCAGACAAACACAGTGAACCCCAGAATAAGATATTACCTGAACTCTGGTAGTGTAGTGGTTACGAATTGGGCTGCGAACTGCAAGGTCAGCAGTTCGAAACTACCAGTTGTTCCGCGAGAGAAAGATGAGGTGTTCTGCTCCCGTAAAGATTTACAGCCTCAGAAACCCTGTACAGGGTCACTATGAGTCAGAACCGACTCCACGGCACATAACCACCACCACCACCACTTGGATCATTACAAAGGAAGTATGAAAAATTCACATAAAATCCTCAAGGCTACTGAGTCCCCAGCACCGGATGGTGGGGTGTGGGAGGAGCTGCTATCTGTGGCTGCGGTCAGAATGGTGGCCCGAGCGAGCCCTCCGCAGGACCCACATGGTCCATCAGGAAACACAGAGCCTAGATTTAAGTCTTGTGACGATATTCATCTCCCTAGGAGAGCTGAGAGCGATCTCCAACAAAAGCATTTCAGAGTATCATTTTTAACTATTAAACACAGCGCCATTTACAATTACCTCACCCATGCCTTCTGGGGCTCCCCAGGCTTTGGGGCTAGGGCCAGTGTGGGGGATGAGAGGACAGGTTCTGCAGTCAGGACAGGCCCAGGCATTTCAATGTTTAACCCTAGACACATGGCACCTGCTTTTCTTTGGAAACATTAACAGAAATACAGTTACCTAGGAAGGAGACTGGGCCCCACACCACATCCGTCTCCATGGGGTCAGCCCTGTCCCAGCCTTCCAGGGAAGCTGGTCTTATCCCTACCCCCAAAGAAGCCAACAATAACTGAGCTCCAGGACAAAGTCTCCGGCCAAGGAACCGAATGAAGTTCAGGGCCAGCCAGCGTAGTGAGGCTGCCACAAGGGCCCAAGAGACGAGACTGAGGGCAACCATGGGGACAGTAGGGAAACACTACCCTCCACAAGGCCACTTGCCAAGCCACCAGCCCAGGGAGTCAGGGTATATGCCAAGAAACTCAAATTGTCTTCAGCACCTTCTCAGAAGCCAAAATGGCAGCAAATAGGGTGGCAACACCGCTAAACCACATCTTCACTGACTAAAGGAACACAACCACATGGCTCTCCTAGCTTTTGCCTTCCTTTTAGAGTTAAGGGCACTTGTGTGTCTGTATTAGAGGGCACTAGAGGAGGGGTCACATCCTCTGCCAGGCTCTTCCCTGGGGACACTAGGAAGCTTTGTCCCTGCGGGAGGCCTGTAGGCACACCTTCCCCCCTCCACCCCGAGCGTCAGAGGCAGCTTTGTGCAAAGGCTGGGCCTGCTAAGGCAGAAGACGATTGTGGCTCGCAAGTGCTGTCGAGTTTTGAAAAAACAAATATTCTCTAAGCATTCTGTTAAGGAAATAAGGGCAGACAGAAAGAAAAGAAAAGACCTTCAAGGTTTAAAGACATGAAAAGACCCACAAAGAAACCTATGAACCCTGTCGGAAGGATTGGGGAGGAGGGCTCAGTCTGCTGGCAGCCCTCTCTGGGACACAGAACGTTGCCAGCAGCCCCACAGGAGCCGAAGGCACTTATGGGAACCTCGTTATTACTTCATAAGGGAGTTCTGGGAGAGGGGAGATTAAGGAGAAGTTTGATGACCACCCAGTACTTGACAGAGGATAGGATGGTCCAGGCCTATAAGTAGAAGCCCTGCCTTTGAGGGAAGGAGGCTTTTTTTTTTAAGTTAAGAGATTATTACAAGGGAATCACCAGAATTGAGGGAGGAAAAGAACAGCAAAAGGCCCCTTTGAGCAAGGCCCCAGGCAGCCAGGGCGTTGAGCTGAGGCTTCCAGCTCCAAGGCCTCAGCTATACACAATGCAGAACTTCCTGCTGAGCTCTTAGGACCTGCAGCCCGCTACCCCCAGGAGGCGGCAGCCGAGATGCCTCCTCATTCTCCTCTGGGTGGAGACAGAAAGGAAGGGTCAGGATGCTAGGAGAGACAGGGAGTGGTCACCAGGCCTGCCTCATACTACCTGCCCTGAGGGAGTTAGTCATACAGCCCGCAGGCCCTGTCAGAAAAGCTGGGCTCTGAAAAGCTGGGCAAGGGGCCCGCCTCCCCACTTGGTTAGTGTTTGTCAGGAAGGCAGCAGGTGGGCGGCGGTGCGGAAACGACCCAGAGCCGGCCTAGCTGGCCCAGGACTTGCGGTTCTCAGCGCTCCTCTGGCTTCTCTCAGCCCGAAGGGCTGCGCCGCCCTCGGCTTTGGCCAGCGCCGTTAGGGAGGCCAGGTTGGTGGCCGAGCCCGAGAGGGGGGCGCTCCTGCGGGCCTCAGGGGCCGCACCCTGCAGCCGGAGGCCGGCGCTTCGTCGCCGGGCCGCTCCTGTAGCCCTACGCACGCGACTGGGCTTCACCAGGAGCCCATAGCCCGGGTTGCACTTGAAGTACTGCTTCCCGCCGATCGAACCGTCATTCTTACCTGGAGGAGAACAGGAAAAAGACGGCAACTTAGAGATGGTTCCAACAAGGCAGCAGGATGCCGACCCAGTGCCCCGACCCCGCCGGGAGGTGCAGGCTAAGGCCAGGCTACAGGGGTGGTGGGCAGTGGTCACCAGGCCACCTACTGTGGCCTGGAGCTTGAGGCTACTGTTCTACACCCTCCATTTCTGAAGCACCAAGTGAGCTCTCAAAGGCCACAGGTGGCACCCATAGTCCCACAGAGGGCCCAGGTCTTTTTCAATCTGGGTGGTTAAAATGGAAACACGGGATGGATCGAGCTGGTGGAATGATTTAAATAGCCAAATTATGGACCGATCGCATACTTGATGTGCCAAGATAAAGGAGAATTGCCAAGTCAAAACCAAATAGAAAAAAAATATAGTGAAGCATGAAAACCCAAAGTGTTCAGGTAGTGTGTATTGTGGGGTGGGGTGTCCCCTTCCTGTGCCTCTGAATATCAGTTTCTCAAGGTAAAGAGCAGGTAATGAGCTTTACAGCAAAAATACCAGGTGTTTTCTGTATCTGCTGTCTCCACTTTCTCTGAGATTCTTTCCAGCTGTCCCACTCATATTCTCACCATCAACAACGACCTCTACTTGCCAGAGCCACTGACCGTACTGGATTATCACTCAATAAGCCCTGGTAGCACAATGGTTAAGTGCTGGGATGCAACCCAAAAGGTTGGTGACTCGAATGCACCAGCCTCTCTAAGGGAGAACTATGTGGCCGTTAGCTTCCATGCAGATCACAGTCTTGGACTCCCTATGGGCTGTTTCTGTTGTGCTACAGGGTCCCGGTGAGTCTGAATCAACTTGACAGCACCTGTCATGCTCATCTGAGTCCACTCTGCAACACATGACAAGTGGTCCTCTTTCCTCTTGAACAAGCTCGCACACTTGGCCAGACTGGGCACACTGCCAGTTCCTGCCTTTACCTTTGGCTCCTCCATTTCTGAAACTGAAGGGTCCCAGAGCACAAGCCTGACCCTCTCAGTCCCATGCACTCCCCAGGGGATCTTTGTCATTGGCCTTACACAGCAGGTGTAGCTAGTTGCCCCGCAAATGTGTCTCCAGCCTCAACTCTGCCCTCACCCAGATGGCTCACCCTTCCCATCTGAATGTCTAGCATGTGTCTGTAACTCATCTGTGCACGCAAAACCCTTGATTCTTCCCTGCTAAGTTAAATGGCATCACCTAATCTGTTGCTCAGGTAAAAAAATTAGGGGTAAGGTCATCTTGAACTGCTTTCCTAATATCCCATATTCAATCCATCAGTCCTGTTGGCTTTTCTTTCAAATCTTTCCTGATTTAAACACTTAGCTAGAAGCGCTGGTGGGACTGTAGGATAAGCACTGGACTGTTAACCACCCACAAGGTCAGCAGTTCAAACCCACCAGCCCTACAGGAGAATGAAGAGGCTTTCTGCTCCTGTAAAGATGGACAGCCTCGGAAACCCCGTGCAGGGTCGCTATGAGTCGTAATGGACTCCACAGCACTTAACCACCACCTCTCTCACTACCACTCTGGTTTAGGCCACTATCATCCCTTACCTAGACATTCAGAACAGTGCAGCTAACCTCTGTTTCAAGGCGTCCCCCTAAGGCTCTTCTGCCCGAAACAATAAACTTCTTAAACACAAATCTGGTCATATCCCTCGTCTGCTCAAAACTTTCTAATGGTTTCCTGCCACGCTTCATGTTGGTGTTGTTATTAGGTGCCATTGAGTTGGTACCAACTCATAGCGACCTTATGCACAACAGAAGGCAGCACTGCCTGGTCCAATACCAACCTTACAATCATTGCTGCTGTCACTGTGCCAGTCCATTTCCTTAGAGATCGGTCTTCCTCTTTTTTGCTGACCTTCCACTTTACCAAGCATGTTGAGAAAGACATCATATACCACACTTCATAAAAGTGATCTGGTCACTGTTCACCTCTCAACCTAATCATCAGGCCTTTGTGCTGTGCTACAAACACACCCAGTTTCTGCTTCCCGCTTTATTCACCCAGGGTGCCCTCAGCTACTAATTTGGTCGAGTGATCACAGCTCTCTCCTTTACATCATGCATTATTTTGCTTTCCCAAGTAGTATTTAAAATCTCCCTTCATCTGGTACTCTTAATCTGATGACCTACTTCATTTTCTTCACAGCACTCATTATTACCTGATGTTTATTTGTAGACTAGGTGATTTTCTCCCCTCTCAAAGAGATGGTGAGTGAAATCAGAGACCTTGTTCTGCTCACTAGAGAATCCCCAGATTCAAGAACAGGGACTGGAACACGTTGTTGTTTTTAGTGCCATCGAGTCGATTCCAACCCATAGCAATCCTGTAAAGGGTTTCCAAGGAGCAGCTGGTGAGTTTGAACCGCTGACCTTGCAGTTCAAACGGCTTTGTAGTCTGGCGCATTAACCAATAGCAACACTGGAACATAGTGGGTGCTTAATGATTACTTGTTGAACTGATATATTTGCTTATTACCCTTGCATTCCCGAGCGCAATAGAATCCCGAGTGCAATTATAGATAAAAATGTCTTTGCTAACTCCCACTAGAATTTCAGCAGAAAAGCAACTTCCAAAAAAAACTTTCAGCCTGGGCTACAATATTTTCGAGAACCTCTTAACAATTCAAGATATCCTCTGCTGGGCAATATACAAGAAGAGGGAGGATGGCAGAAGAATGATGAAGACAGGGAGGTATGCCAGGGCTAAAAGGGATAATTGAGGTAAATAGTGATATACACACAACTTCAGAGCAACAGTGTTCTGCAGGGAGATACTCAACAACAACAACAACACTTAACCTTTCCTACAAACACAACTATGAAATGTGGAGCATACAGCAGGTGAAATGATGACAACTTCTTAGACATTATCAAACATCTTAAAGGCAATGAGTTGCTAGGTCTGGGAGCTCAGGACCATAGCACCATGCTCAACTGGCATAACACTATCTACAAAGACAATGCTCTACATCCTACTTGGGTGAGTGGCATTTGGGAAGTTAAAAGCTCATGAGCAGCCATCTAAGGTGCAGTTATTGGTCTCTCCATGTGTGGAAGACAAAAGAGAGATAGAACTGAAGAGGACTGGAATCAGTAGACCATGTAAACATCAGTCTCCACGACTGAGACCAGAACTAGATGGTGCCTAGCTACCACTACCAGTCATTCTGGAAGGAATCACAACTGAAGGTCAGAGAGAGCAGCAGAAAGTGTGGAACAAAACTCCAAATTATTAAATGAAAAAAAAAAAAAAAAAAAATTTTTTTTAAAAGACTAGGCTTACTGGTCAGAAAGAGACTGGAGGAACCTGAGACCTTGACCAGCCTTCAAGTGTGCAAAGGTACTCACCCTCAGTGCCAAAATTTCAGCCTAGCAGTAGATAGGTACCATACGGTAGGGACAACAAAACTAGGAAGGTATGCTCACCATGGAACGGTCAATCATTCAAAATTGAGTGACTTCATAGCTATGCTCCTGGGCCCTGGATCTGCTGCATGCCCTGCCCTTGGTTTGCAGGTAGTAATGAAGGCCCAGGAAGCCTCCTAGACTATACGAGAAGCCCACTTGGAACTGCTCTGCCCTACCAATGTCTGAAGGAGTCTTCTCTCTCAGATGGTCACTTCTTGCAGGGTACATCACACCTAGTGAAGCTGCTGGCTGCAGAGCTCTTCAGTGACTTCCGGGTCCCAATGAATCGGGACCACTCTCCTGCTGTCATAGTGCTCTTCCCCCACATTCCCACTCACTTCTCACCTTCACCCTCCCTACACTCTCACCATGCTCCTACCTCCAACACCACTCATTTTACCAAGCCACTCAAAACCTCCCTGAAAATCCGTATCTTCAGCTTCCAAACCCCATCTAAAGGAGAGGCTGCTCCCCTTCTCCCCCCACCCCCAGTCACAAGGTGGTTGAGATATTAATTTAAGCATCCTATCACATACTGACTGGTAAAACTTCACCTTCCTTTACATTGCCTAATTCATGCGACAGTGATGATGTGGATGAGGATCCTAAGGAGGTCAGGATGGATTTGGGTGTGAAGCTATAAAATGAAAATGAATAAACAAAATTGACTGTGGTCAAAATCGAGTATGGTATGACTGGTTAAAGTAAGCTAAGTGGTCTTAAAAACACTCCTGCAAGAGAAGAAGTCAACACTCAAACATCAATCAGGTTTCATTAGACATCAGCAATGAAGAATCTGAAATGGAAATTAAGGAAACACTTCCAGTTACAATAGCATCTGAAAGAATTAAATACCTAGGATTGAATTTAACCAAAGAAGGGAAAGGGAAAGACATGTACACTGAAAACTATAAAGTATTACTGAAAGAAATTAAAGAAGATACAAACAGAACATTTTATGTTCACAGATTGAATGACATATTATTGTTTAAAGCATACGTTATCACCCAAAGCAGTCTATACATTCAGTGCAACTTCCATAAACAGAAAATTTCATAAACAGAAAAGGCAATCCCTAAGACGTATATGGAACAGCAAGTGGTTCTGAATAATCAAAGCAAGCTTGAAAAAAGAACAAAATAGGAAGACCCAACACTTTCTGATCTCAAAATATAACATATACCACTGTTGTGGTGTTGTAGGATAAGCACTCGACCTCAAGATTGGTTTGAACTGCAAGGTTGGTGGTTCAAACTCACCAGAAGCTATGAGTCGGGAATGACTCGACAGTACTTAGCAACAAGTTCAATGATAGACTTATTGACCATAATTGAGAGTCTACAAACAAACTCACACATCTATAGCCACTTGATTTTCAGCAAAGGTTCTAAGTCCATTCAGTGGGGAAGTAATAGCCTTGTTGATGAATGCTGGGACAACTGGAATTTAATAGGCAAAAAAATTAAGTTAGACCCATACCTCACAGCATATATAAAAATCAACTCAAAAAAGAACAAGAACCTAAAAGTAAGAACTAAAACTATACAACTCATAGAGGAAAACATAGGGGCAATGTTTTAGAACTCAGCATTTACTGAATTATGGTACTGGAGAAGAATACTGAAGTACTATGGACTGCCAGGAGATCAAAGAAAACTGTTTTGGAAGAAGTACAACCAGAATGTGCCTTAGAAGTGAAGATGCAGAGACTTTGTCTCTTGTACTTCAGACATGTGCTCAGGAGGTATCAGTTCCTAGAGAAGACATCATGCTTGGATAAGTGGAGGGTCAACGGAAAAGAGGAAGACCCTCAAAGAGATGGACTGACACAGTGGCAGCAATAATGGGCTCATAGAAAACCAATTCTGAGGACAGTGCAGGACCAGGCTGTGTTGTGTATGTTGTGCATCAGGTGGCTATGAATCAGAATCAACTCAATGTCACCTAACAACAACAAGATATGACACCAAGAGCATGGGCAAGAACAACAACAACAGATAAAAATGAACTTCATCAAAATGTGTTCATCAAAAAGACTGATCAACAAAGTGAAGAGACAGGAAAAAGGTGGAAGACACACTATCTATCTTATAAGGAGCCCTGGTGGCACAGTGGTTAAGTGCCTGGTTACCAACTGAAAGGTCAGTGGCTCAAACCCACCAGTCTCTTCACAGGAGAAAGATGAGGCAGTCTGCTTCTGTAAAGATTGACAGCCTTGGAAACCCTATGGGACAGCTCTACTCTGTCCTATAAGGTTGCTATGAGTTGGAATAGACTCAGTGGCAATGGGTTGGGTTTGGAATGTATCTTACATGGCTTTAAGATCCAGAATACATAAAGAACTCCTTTAACTTAAGAAAAACACAAACACCTAATTAAAAAATGGACAAAGAACTTGAGTAGACATTTCTCTAAAGACGACATATAAATGGCCACATGAAAAGATTAGTTAAACCTCATGTTTAAAAACTGACAAACTCATGTTCATCAAAATGAAAAATGTGCTTCAAATGACATTGTTGTTATTATTGTTAAATGTCATTGAGCCGGTTCTGATTCATAGCAACCCTGTATAGTGTTTCCAAGGAGCAGTTGGTGAGCTTGAACCGCCAACCTTGTGGCTCAAACCAACTTTTTAGTCCAGCACATTATCCCACAGCACCACACCAAGACTCCTCTCTCTCTCTCTCTCTCTCTATATATATATATATATATAAATGGGTAAACTTTGTGGTTATTGTTTTTGAGTGTCATCAAGTCCGTTCAACTTGTAACATCCCTATATAGAGTTTCCAAAGAGTGGCTGGTGAGTTTGAACTGCCAACCTTGTGGTTCAAACCGACCTTGTGGTCCAATGCATTATCCTGCAGTGCCACACCAGGACTTTACAATGACAATTAGAGTTGCAAACCTGCAACAGCTTTTCGACACCTCATCCTGGGCCAAAGAACCCCAGAAGTCTTTAGAACCACTGAGATGAACAATACTGGGTGAGCATCAGTGTTTGTAACCTGAGCAAACACTTCATATAAGCCGACTACTGTATTTCACATGACTAAAAGAGTGTGTTAAGAGTCATTACCGAATCTATGGCCGCTTTTAATCACTGTCTTGGGTTTTTGAGGAATTCCTGAAAGTTAACAGGGGGATCTTATTCTTACAAATTTTCTAATGAAAATTCCTTGTGAAAAGTGGGAAGACAGAGGTTAAATGACTTACTGGAAGAGCCAGGCACAAAGGTCAGCTTTACTGCGCCCACACCATATGGAGCAAGCTCTACTACAGAGCATCTGTTGCACACAGGTTATCACTCACCTGAAGGTAAATCTAGTTCTACTCCAATCCAGGTCCCCTCCTGAAAGTCAGTTGGCCCAATATATCTCACGATGCCCATTTTGTTCGTGCCAACGGTAACATATTCTCCCTCTTTGAGCCACTCTGGGATTTCACTGGCTTCTTCAGAGTCTGATGTAACTTCCAGTTTTTCCAAGGCCTGTCCCTGGGAGCTGCTGTCCCCTAAGTCTCCTGAGGCCAGCTGCTCTTCCTCAGTGCCAGAGGAGCAGCTAGAGTCGCCACCAAGCATGCGTGTGAAAGACTTCAGCTCAGAGGTTCGCACCTTCTGGATTCTGAATGGAGATGTTGGAGCAGGTGACTGAGAAAGGAGATCAGGAGGCAACTGTGGTCCGGAGACATCTGGCTCCGTGCAGGGAGCTGGCTTCATCAGGTCCTTTGGGCTTCCTGGCTGCCTGGTGGCAGAGGAAACTTTTTCTACTGTCTGCTGACTAAGTGATTCCTTTTGTGGGGCAGAACTGGGAAGATACGTTGGTCTGTCAATGGTGAGAGAAGCACTTGCCATATCTTCATTTTCCTTCTCAGAGGAAACCAATTCCTTGACCTTTAATATGCCATTGCTATTGCACTGAGCAGCTTGCTTTGGCAGGGATGAGATGCTGGTCTGATTCTCCAATGAGGCAGACAGGGGGCTCTTTGTATATGAAACAGTAGATAGAAATAGGAGGTCAGGTTCAAGAGGGAGCTGGCAGACAGGAGTCAGAGGGGAGCTGGGGGCAGCCTGGGCAGCAGCATCTAGGCCAGTGACCAGCGCATCTGAAAGAGTTGCTGTGGAAATGCTGTGAGAAAAGTAACCGCTGGAGGCTTCACTCAGGGGACTGGGTAGACCTTCTGGAACTTCTTGGGCCTGGGTGTTTGCAAGAAGTGTCTGCGGAGAAGGCACTTTAGCTGATCTGTCACCAATCTTCACCACAGATGGAATCTGCACAGTCACTTCCGGTGCCTGGCTAATTCCCAGGTTCTCTCGGTGAGCCTGGAACAGGAAGCATAGCTGCTTAGAATTTACATTTAAGGATTCTTTTCCCGAAGAATTAAAAATGATTTTGTTGTTGCTAGTTGAAGCATTATAGCTTTGACGGTGTAAAGAGAGTAGCATTGGAGTACAACAGACCTGGTTCTGTCAGTTCTACCTCTTATTTCTGTGTGACCCTGGCTTCTCACCTAATAAGTACTGAGCACATACTATGCACTAGGGCGCTCCATAGGATAAGCAATGGACTGTGAACCACAAGATCAATGGTTCGAGCCCACCAGTTGCTCCATGCAAGAAGGATGAGGCTTTCTGCTCCTGAGGATTTAAAGCCTCAGAAACGCTATACATGCATGGTATTTACGAATTAGCACTAACTTAACAATAACAACTATGCACTAAGCAGACACTGTGCTATGTTCCAGTGGTAAGAGTGCTGAGCCAAGTGGACAATCTCTGCTTCTTCCCTTTTTAAATAAAGAGAGTCCCTAGGCTCTACACACAGGGTTAGTAAGGAACAGTAAGAGATACAACTCCTAACTGCAGAGTGTGGCACAGCCTCGGAAAACAGTGTAACCTTAACTCCCTGGTCTCCCATCTCCACTCTCCTGCCCTCTTTCACTCACGCTAATGACTTTGCTCTTTTGGAAACACAGAAGCCCTGCCTACCATTGACTTCACAAGCAGATTGTGAGAATCAGTAAAAAGGTCCAAAGAACACTTTTTTGCTACAAAATTACATGATGATCTCCTTGGAGGATCTGAAAATGCTTTTGAACAGGTTTACCAGCTTACACACACAGATCACACAGATTATACATCCAAAACAACCTACTGAGGGGACATTTGGGGCCATGAGTCAGGTAGATGGACAGGAATGAGACTCTGCTCCCCCACCCTACAGCCCTCAGCCCTTTCTCTGAGATGCTTTGATTCACGCAGCTTTTAAAGATGAGTTCTATTTCATAGGTCAGAGACACCTGGAAGACAAAGGCCAAGCAGCAAACAGTCTCCCAGGGCAGTGCAGAAAGTGAGCAATGGGCCCCCCAGATTGGAATGGCCGCTGCCTCTCACATCGCTCTGTCTGAGTCACTCTGGCAGGACACACACAAAGCCTGTATTTCATGTGGGAGGACAACAGCCACATTTTATCCAAATCCCACTGATTCTTAGATGTTAGTAAGGTTTGTTTATAACCTAAACCAGTTTAAGAAGCTGGTAGATTATCTTTCTATTCCTGATTCACAATGATGAGGAAAAAAAGAGAAGGCAAGAAGAGCAAATGGGGTGGCAGTGTACAGCGGGTTGCTGTTCAGAAAAAGAAATATGTTTTCCAATATTTACGGAAAGATTATTTATATTACAGGAATGGTCATTTTCCATTTGAAATACAGGATTTATTTGAACTGGGAAACAGCTGTGATCTATAAGTCTCTTACAGTTACTTGGCTTAACTCAGCAGTTTGATAAATCATGCATTTTCACGTGAATTGTCATTTATATTCCTGTTTCCAGAGGCCCTCCTTTACCCACAAGACACACTTTCAGGCTCTGAAATTAACTGCACCTCTTGAGATTAACAGCCCATTTTTGTGATGGATCTCTACGCTGAAAAATTTACTAAATCCAATAGATCAATAACTGTCACCAGCATATATACTCTAAAAGATTAGGTGATCCTTCAATCATTTTTCTTCTGCAACTTGTACATGTTTTATTTATTCCTTTCTATTTTATTTTAATATCACTGGCCATGCAGTGAAGAATACACAAATCAAACGATTAAGAGACTAGAATCTGAATAAAGACGGTCCTGAAATAGCATATGTTCCATAATCCTCTACTGGGTGAAACCCAGTCATGGTCATTTTAACAACTTTTCCATCTAGGACCTGTGCTGAGGAGTTTAGAGGTTATTTACATGCTATTATCCTATTTACTCCCATGTGAATTCTTTGATGTAGGCCAGGAAGAAATACAAAGAAGCTTCAACAAGTACATGGAAAGCTTCCATTAACTTTTTTTTTTTTAAATGTTTTATTGTGAATTATGTGACAGTGTACATGGGAGAACCTATCGTATATCGTTTCATTGCCATGGTTACAATCCCCTACATGCTCCATTAACTTTTTTTTTGATTGTGAATTATGTGATAGTTTACATGGGAGAACATTAGTTTTACATTCATTCTATCGTATATCCTCTCATTGCCATAGTTACAATCCCCTCCATGCAATCCTTCCTCCGTACCCCCCAGGTCTTCAGCACACAGTCGCTTTCCCTCTCTGGATCTAAAGTCTCCAGCTGCTCCATTGCTCCATGTCATCATCTCTGGCTCCATTTCAGGCATCACTGCTTCTCTGGGTAGGGTCCTGTTCTCTGCTCTTCTCCCTTGATGGTCCTAGGGACCTCCGTTCCTAGACTGAAAAAGTTAATCACTCCCCTCCTTGCTATAAAACGTCTACCTTTACATTTCCGACCCTCACAATCAGTCCTGATAACAATTATTCACTATTGTATCACAAGAGACCCATCTGCATTTCATTGCATCAGCCCCCCCCAGTCAGACTGAATACTACTCACTGGAGATTCGACCTTCCTCCAGGCCCTCTGAATCTAGGTTCCCCCTTGAAAGCTTGTAAGCCAGTCACTTCTTGCCTTTGTAGCCTCCCACCCCCCATTTTGGGTAGCCAATGTCCAAGTTGCCCATCCCTGTCTACTCTGTGTGTGATTCTTGCTGTAAGGATTTATTCCCTCTTTTGAGCTGCAGCTTCCATAGGTGTAGGTCAAGTTCATCAAATTGTATGAGAATACTTTTTTTTTCCTCTTCTTTTTATTTCTGGCTGAGCTCTGATCATCCAGTCATTGAAGCCAGGACAAGTGAGTATTATCTGCAAGTGTGGGTGTTCTTATGCATATGCCCCCTCTTCTTATC